CATTGTTCAGTAGTATACTTTTATTGTCTGTGGAACTTAAGGATTGGGGAATAAATCGTTTCGTTTTTTTTTTTTTAGGTCAGTGTAACAGAAGATACCCCGCTTTAAGCAGCTTAAAGTTGAAATAAGCCTACGCAAAAATATTGGGCCAATGAAAGATCGAAAGGATAAAGTCATATTAATATGCAAATTTCTAAATAGGTATTGTCCCATCTTATTAACATGGCGGTAAGGTGGCTTAGCAGGTCATGATAATTGAACATTGGTTTTCTTTTTTCTATTTTTCATTTTTTACACTAAAATCATGGCTAAAATATCTGCTGAAACAAAGATGAAGGTTGTGACTTTGAAAGGGGAGATCACTCAATGAGAGATAGCCAAACGGCGGGGTATTTCCAGAAACAGTGATCAAACCATTGAAAAAATGTTGGCTACTACTGGAAATGTTTTAAGTGCAAACAAAACCGGAAGATCATAAAAGTTAAACAAGAGAAATCTAAGAAACATTGTGTTAATCTTGGTATGCAATACGAAATTAAGAGTCAGACAAATGAGAGTGAACGCAGTCTTACCAGTGCCATTTCATTTGATACAGTACCTAGAGTATTAAGAAAAACAATTTGAATGGGGGTATAAAAGCAAAAAACACAAGCAACCAAAGAACATCGGAATAGAAGATTCAAGTGGTCAAAAAAGCATCTATGGAATGGTAGAAAATTGCAAAAAATAGTGTTTAGGATTGAATTCAACATAGAGTAATATTCTAATACAAGAAAATATGTAACAAGACCAGAATGAGGAAGAAGAAAATACATGATACACTAGAAAAACTATAACATTTTCCAGCGGACACGTAATGGTGTGAGGTAGCATCAAAGGTTATGGTAGACGAATATTTGTAAAGGTTGATGGAAACCTTTAACAGAAGTTATATTAGGTTACTAGGGTCAAATCTTTTGCCAGACGACGGAAACATTTTTCTGTAACCAAAAGTTTTCATGAGGATGAAGATGTTCCACATTTGAAAAACAGCCAATCGCAGATTCCTGACACTAATATCATTGAATACTTGTAATGGGAACTAAAATAAGAACTCCTCCAATAATAACAACGCAATCTACAAGAGCTTTGGTATTCCTACCAAAAAAATTCAATGTTCCATCGATTTGAGGTAGTTATTCGAGCAGAAACACTAACTACTAACTCCATACTTTGATCTTTTGCATTTGTTATAATAATGAAGATCACTTTCTGTCTATATCTCTGAAATGAAGTATTATGATTACTTGCATTATTTACATTATTCGGTCTGTTATCCTCATCTCTATTGCCATATTCGGCCCTTGTACGCTCCGGCCTTCTTCAGGTAATTGGAATTTTGAACCGAACCCTTTAATTCGCCCACTGGGGTAGAATGTTCTAGTTCCACGTGCCGTGCCTCTTCCGGATGACTAGCCCCAAGGAGTTGTGGGTTCAATACCAGGCCACAGCAGTGAGGCAAAACTTGGAGAGTTGAGTTAAAGGGAAAATGATTGAGACATCCGGAAGAAGCGTGGCACGTGGAACTAGAACATTCTACCGCAGCGGACGAAATAAAGGGTTCGGTTCGAAATTCCAATGAACTGAAAAAGACCGGAGCGTACAACGGTCAAAATGGGGTGAATATGATCAGTAAGATGAGGGTAACAGACTGAATAATGTAAATAATCCAAGTAATGATTACTTTCTATTTCAAAGAAAATCCTTTTTAACTTAAGAAAACGGCCGGAAGTTGAAATTTCTGTTGGTGGCCCAGTAGTTTTGCTTGACCTTTTTTCACCATCCTTATCCTTAAGATGTTCTCTGATCCACTATGCAGTATTAACGAAAATGCAGTATTTTGGCAGTTTTTTGCTCCTCAAAGATGGAAAAAAATTAGAGAGAAAATATACTGCGAATCATTCTCGATTGGCGGGTAAAAATAACAAAAGTAATTAAATTCGCAAGGTGGCCAAAAAGTTTTGCATTTTAGTATATCTTACTAGCAGTAGAGCCCGGCGTTGCCCGGGGATGTAACAGTAAGAGATAGATCAAGTATCGACCATCATAAAGACTGAAAAATAAAATTGACAAAGATTATTGTTTAAGGTTGACGGACACGCATGTTTAATTAGTTTTTTTTTGTTTTTGTTTTTTTACGAATTGGTCGAACTCAAACTCAAACAAAAACATTGTTTTCAATCGTTATGAGTCTACCGATTGAATAGAATTTTATTATAAACAATTGTCTTGTAAATGAAATTTTTAAAGCATTCTGAATATTAAAAATAAAGAAAAAAATGTGCAAGACAATAAGAAACACTACCTGCCAAAAAGAAAAAGTTAAGTTTTGTTGAAATCGGTTGAAAAATGTAGGAAATCCGATCCCATATATAAACGAACACATACAAACAACTTGGGTTTTATATTAAGTATAACTCGATATGAGTTGTCCCCCTTTCATTCTCGCGATGCCTCTTAATCGTGTTTTCAAATTGATTTCGTGCAAAAACAATTGTGTTTTACCAATTTTTTTGGCGCTGTCAGACCCACCGCAAGGTAATTTTACGTAGTCCTGTGAAGTTTTGTTGAAATCGGTTGAAAAATGTAGAAAATCCGATCCAATATATAAACGTACAGACACACACACATACACACAACCTGGGTTTTATAATAAGTATGATCCTATCTGGCCAAAAACAAATGTTTTTTGTTGGAATAGAAACGTTACTTAACAATCAATCTTTAATTTTAACTAGAAAAATTACTTTTATTTTATAACAGTTTCATTATTCTATCTGGTCTAAAACTTGTTTTATAGGATTGGAGACCTTATTTATCAATCAATATTCCTGATTTTGAAAATTTACTTCATTTTGATGCTAAGTTTCTTTACTCTATCTGGTATAAACATGTTTTTATATGATTTGATACATATCAATCAACCTTCAGAATTTTGAAGAGAAATAAATTTACTTCCATTTCATACCAGTTTCATTATATTATATGGTTTAATACTTGTTTCATAGGATTGGAGACCTTACATATCAATCAACAATCGTGATTGTGAAGGGAAATAAATTTTCTTCCTTTTTATACCAGTTTTATAATTCCATCTGGTATAAAACCTTGTTTTCATAACATTAGATACTTTTCAATTGTTCAGGCATAGATAGATTTTATCCTTTTCTTTTTTTATTACTCTATTTCTTTCTTCTTTTTTTTTTTTTTTTTTGACCTATTTTTCTTTACCGGGTTTCATCACTTTTTTTTGTTTGTTCTTTCTTTTTTTTCTTCTTTTCCTTCACATTTTATTTCCTTTTTTATTGTCTTTTCTTAACTTCTTTCTGGTTTCCTTCTTTTCTTTCTTTTTTCTTTCCTACTTCTTCCCGCTTTTATTTCCTTTTTTTTTTGCTTTCTTTCTTTGTCTTATAATTTTCATACTCGGGTCATTTTATACGTTTTTTTTTTTTCATTTCAGATCTACAATGGACGGCCCCAGAAATACTACGGTGCCCCGAAAAGAGAGCTTCCCCAAAAGCAGACATTTATTCCTTTGGCATTGTCCTATACGAAATACTAAGTAGGAGCAGTCCTTATCGAGATTTGAACGTGGCACCCAAAGGTAAGGATCACTTATTTAAGGCTATCTTAACTTGAATGAATTACGGAAGATAAACGAATTTTTCAGTGATTTTTCCTTTTGGCCTTAAAGTGAGCACACAACAGAATATTTCAGTGGATGAATTTTACATAAAAAATCTGTTTGTTTTTAAAGGATTCCTTACAACAGGAAATAAATATTTTTACATGATCTTAACTCGATGGTCTGGCATGTCACCTTTTCATATTATACATTGTTGGCTTTTATAGCGAAAACACTCATGCTTTCCTGTGCACACACAAACACACACACACACACACACACATATATATATATATATATATATATATATATATATATATATATATGTTTCACTAAAGAAGACTGACAAGGTACTGCAATTTTTCTTGTGTTCCTGTAAGTGTTTTCTTATCTGGATATAAAGGGTTTAAAAACTGTACAAATGTCCCAAGCAGTTTTGGCTATTCCATTATTATTCAATATTATCAACTATGAACACGGCTAAATCATGCTGGCTGTGTTTGGAAAACAAAAGGAAACACTTTCCCATCACTATAGATACACATATATAAAAAGCTTCATATTCAGTTAAAATTTTTTTTTAAATCCTTGATAATGGTTAATAGAATATAACGATTTGTGTGAATAGATTGTCGGATAAGGACAACAAATGACGAATATGACGAATAGCGTTGGTAATGGGTGAAATAAAAGAGGTTGTGGGAAGCCATGTTTTTCCACACAAGGAAAAGATCTGAAACATAAAAGAATATTACAAAAAAAACTATTATTTACAAATCTAGCAAAAATGATGGTCAGCCTAAACTTGTCCGGAGTGATTGATTTTTTCCAGCTTATCAAACCACTGAAGGTTATTTAAATCCAAGAAATACTTTTTTACGGATATAATAATGATTTACTGATATTAATTAACCCTTATCTGGGGGAGAAGAGTTGGATTCAGATATTTCTCAAATGTATCTTTCAGTTATGCGTCATGCGTGATACACGCTTAGGCGATCATGTGTCTTTCGATACATGACTGATGAGGTAGATTTTTCCCGCGTTAGGTTACCATTTCTTTCTTCGGTAGACCATCAAAGTCTATAGAACCCGGTGTGTCTTGATACATAGCTGGGAGGAGAAGACGAGGATTCCTACCTTTCCCAATGGTAGCACGTAAGTGAATGTAAAGGAATCGACTGGAATTCGAACTCGTCTCTCCGGTTCCTCAATCCAAGCCGCTATCCATTACTCTACCGTGCGTAAGTATAACGAACCCGACGGAAATTGGAACGCGGCTCTCCGATTTCTAATTCCGAGCCGTTATCCATTAGACGACCTGAACATCAAAAGTTACATCACTTGTTATTCCCAAACGGTTACCCATCTAGGTACAGACCCTGCTCGAGGTTGCTTACCGACTGTGAGCTAACGAGCACCGGTGTTTCAACGTGACATGACCGTAAACAGCTAACTCGACCGGAATATCGTGTAGCGTCAAACATCTAAAAAGTACAGCTATCATGGATATTAAGACGTGAAAACCGATACTTGAAGTTTGATTTATTAAAGTACTAGCAGCATGGCCCGGCGTTGCCCGTGCTTAATTCAAAAATCGTACGACTTATACAGCAATCGCTATCACTTGACTTAAAATATTTTTGCCCTTCCTTGCCTTTAAAGGAGTGCCCTTTGCCGTGCTGATGTTGCTATATGCCTTACTTCTTGCCTCACACTGCGAATGTTTTCTAAGCTCTATGCTAAACATTAAATCTGTTACGAAAAAAAAACTAAACAAAATGAACACAAAACGATCAGCTTTAAAAAAGAACTCGTAAATGGAAAAACCGAATGAAAAAAGAATATTAACAACAAATACTTTTTCACACCCAACCCAGTTCTACGGAATCAGAATCAACGTTGAGTTTAAGCAAGCGAATTGGAGTAAAGTACCATGCAGATTTAAATTTTTCCCACTTGTGACGATGCAGCTCTCGATTATTTTTGCATGCTAGTTAACATTCTTGTCAGTCAGCTGTTGGCTTTCACGCTGGCCAATAGAATCTTCCTGCCTATTCGTGGCAGCCAGCTATAGGCTCTCTCTCTCTGGTCAGTAGAAAATGGCTGCAAACTACATGAAAACTGCCGTAGAAGCATGAAAAAATCGATTATTTCCACTATCGATGGGTGTTGGTAAATGCAAAGTCGGTCTTGGCCTTCCCGCTAACTTGGAGCATGTGCATGTAAATTTTGGTGCAAATCCGTCGAAAATTGCGGCCATGCATTCGTCACACACACACACATGCTGCCTTTTATAGATAGAGATTCGATGATTGCGAGCGACTCTGATAAAAGAGAGATATTTATTATAAATGTCTCCATAAACATATCGTCAAGCATTAATGACACACTTTCTACGACAATGATTAGTTTTGTATCGATTAAAATATGTTTTAGGCGTTCGAGACAATGAGCTATACCATAAGTATCGTAATATCGTGGGACATGAAACGCTAGGACACAGGTGACGCGATCTTTTACCCCTGTAGGAAATTTCTTCTTGCTATACAACATGGTTAATTCCCGACTAGCGGATTAAGAGGTCTATTTGAAGTTACTTCTGTCTGATTAGTCGAACATGGCCAGTCTAAACAAACAGGAGGTTGTCTGGCATCGATAACATTACAGTAAATTACTTTTGACCCTAATGGACGATTTTCATTCGAATCCATGGCATGTTATTTTCTCTTGGACTCATTTACAAAACAGACATGTCGTATTCCCAGCTAACATGGAATGTTCTTGCAGATACGTTTTATTTTGGTTGGGCAAGATATGTTTCTGTAGCGACGTTATTGTGACTTTGCAATCAATAATTTTCCTGATCCCAAACTGGGGGTTTGTTCTGAACGTTGTCACAACTCGATGGTAATTTGCGAAGCGTTGTAACTGAAAAAGTCCGCACTGATCAATCTTTCTCTTCACTTAACAATACGTATAAAAGGTAGAGAATTTATTTTCGTATTTTTAATGAGAATTGCCAATTTATATGATGAATATACACTAATATCTTCTCGGAAATTCTTATCCATTTTCTGTTAATGTAACGTTAAAAGAAACGAATTTGAAACCTCTAAGTAACTTTCAAGAAAAGTCATTTTGTTAGCTGGTTCGCTGCCATATCTGAGCTGGGTCTACCTAATCAACACTTTCTAGCCTTGAAAGTGTTCAAAAGCATTGTCTGTGATGAATTGTTTCCCACCATACAACCCATTTCCCCTGAAACCAAACTTTATAATCCTCTCGCTATTTCATTGGTACTTCAATGCAGAATCTTCAGAGGAGCTACATTTCTTAGTTCCATCTGTTCAGACGATCGCAGCTAGGACACGCAATGATTAAGAAAAAAAAACAAAAAAAGCTCATCTCCCTCTGTCTTTACCTCTTGGGATACATTCTTTTATCTCTAATGAGAAAGGTGCTGACCTCCTGTATATGACAATAAACTACATCGGGTAGCAAGGCGTCTGACCGGAAACATGTGAGAAGCGTGGAAACACCATTCAATTGTTATTGTTCCCAAATCCACCCTGACTCGGTTTGGTAGCACCTGTTAGGGTCTTAGCAATGGACAAATAGTGAAGTGTTATACTATCATTTTCACAAAGCCTCAACGCACAATACACAAAATGCACGATATACTATCATTTTTACATAACCTTAACGCACAATACACAAAATACACAATATACTATCATTTTCACATAACCTTTAGGCAAAATTCACAAAATACACGTTATACTATCATTTTCACAAAACCTTAACGCACAATACACAGAATAAACGTTATACTATCATTTTCACAAAGCCTTAACGCACAATACACAGAATACACAATATACTATCATTTTCACATAAACTTTACGCAAAATACACAGAAAAAACATTATACTATCATTTTCACATAACCTTAACGTACAATAGAGAAAATGCACGATATACTATCATTTTTACAAAACCTAAACGCACAATACACAAAATACACGTTATACTATCATTTTCACAAAACCTTAACGCACAATACACAGAATAAACATTATACTATCATTTTCACAAAACCTCAACGCACAATACACAAAATACACGATATACTATCATTTTCACATAAACTTTACGCAAAATATACAAAATACACGTTATGCTATCATTTTCTCAAAACCTTAACGCACAATACACAAAATGCACGTTATCTTATCATTTTCACAAAACCTCAACGCACAATACACAAAATACACGATATACTACCATCTTCACATAACCTTTACGCAAAATACACGTTATACTATCATTTTCCCAAACCTTAACGCACAATACACAAAATAAACGTTATACTATCATTTTCACAAAACCTTAACGCACAATACCAAAATACACGTTGTACTATCATTTTCACAAAACCTCAACGCACAATACACAAAATACACGATATACTATCATTTTCACATAACCTTTACGCAAAATACACAAAATACACGTTATACTATCATTTTCACAAACCCTAACGCACAATACGCAAAATATACGCTATACTATCATTTTCACAAAACCTTAACGCACAATACAGAAAATAAACGTTATACTATCATTTTCACAAAACCTCAACGCACAATACACAAAATACACGATATACTATCATTTTCACATAAACGTTACGCAAAATACACGTTATGCTATCATTTTCACAAAACCTTAACACACAATACACATTATACTATCATTTTTACATCATCATCTTGCAGCCTCAGCCGAGATTGAACTTTGATTGGTGTAGTTCGTAATCTTGTCAAATAGCTGAATTCTTGATGCTTTGCTAGGGCTATCAAGGGTGTTTTTATCGTGACACCAACACTAAATGGATTGCCAACCAAGGCTCAGAGAGACTCCATTCACCCTCCTCTAAGAGCAAGTTTTGAATTCAGAGTTTTCCTTCTCCTAGACCAGTTGCCCTCCAAAGCTATAGATGCCAGTCTGTCCTGCTATTTACCCATAGCTGAAGGGAGAATAAAGAGGATTCACACCTTTCACACGTTAGCACATAAGTGAATGTAATGGATTCGACTGGAATTCGAACTCGGCTCTCCGATTCCTCAATCCAAGCCGCTATCCATTACTCCACCGCGCCTCATTTTCACATAACCTTAACGCACAATACACAAAATACACGTTATACTATCATTTTCGCAAAGCCTTAACACACATGGCTCTATGCCATTAGTATTCATTGAGAAAGAATTTTTTTTTTATTTCTTTTTAAAAAAATAGGAAATTATGAATTATCATTTCTTTTATTTATTTTTTATTTGTTTGTAAATATAAATCACCGCGTAAAAAATGTCTCGCTCGGACGCTATGGCATATTCATAATGTCTACACAATAACAAATCTGAACTAGGCATTACAACAAGGTTTTGATATTCATCAGGAGATGAATCGGGACACTGATGACAATGACGTCACGTCCAGATGTTTCCGACAAAGTTTTGAACTATGAAAAACGAAGTGCATCACCACCAACGGCGATCGAAATAATAATCTCTGCCGGACATATATGTATTTTAAAACGTTGCATATATATATATATATATATATATATATATATATATATATATATATATATAATTATTTTTATAAAAAAATTATAACATAAGTATGTTATAAAATCACACAAAAATAGCCATTTTGTTTCAACACACTCAGAGTGTGTTGAAACGAAATGGCTATTTTTGTAGTGATTTTATAACATACTTAGGTTATAATTTTTTTTATAAAAATAATTATATCTGCTCTACTTTGTATTGAGCACTCTTTTAAGAATAGTAATTGTTGGTTATTGGAATTCATTCCGTGTATACCAATTATATACTTTGGTATATATATATATATATATATATATATATATATATATATATATATATATGTGTTAAATATATATATATATATATATATATATATATATATATATTTATATATTATATATATGTGAAAAGTGTATATATATATATATATATATATATATATATATATATATATATATATATGCGCGGTACTTAAACCTAGGGTCAAAAACCACATCAATCCAACCAAATATATATATATATATATATATATATATATATATATATATATATATATATATATATATCCTTCCATTATTTTGTGGATACCCATATTTGAGAAAAGAAAATCAACTTCAGACAATTTATTCATAATTTAAGTCAGTCCCGATTTACCTTATATTCTGAAAAAATATAATAAAAGCTATACAGAGTTTGGTTAAATTTAAGAAAACGTGTTTGGATGATTTCTTACATCATATATATATATATATATATATATATATATATATATCCAATAAACAAAACTTATATATTAGCTATTTAAAAAAAAACATTATAAAATTATTTAC